TATATGCCTCTTAATTGATCACTAAGATATATAATATTTATTAGTAAATATACCTAATTACATGTGATAAATTATATATTAGTAATTGATCATTAACTAGTTATTAACCTATTATATTATTATTATATATATGATCAATTACATGGTTTTATAGGTTATTATATATCATTGTATATAGATCTATAGATATCCATAATATAGGGATTATATATAATATTCTATTAATATTAGATTAAATATATCGTATGGCTATAAATAACTTAATATTGGATATGGTTATAATAGTAATCGTAATAGAGGGGCTATATCTTAATATAATATATTATTTATTTAATATCATATTTAATTAGGTATACGTGATAATATTATATAAAATTATATTTAATAACGTTAACCCAATACCACTATATAGATATAATATAATATATCGTAAGTTATAAATAGGTTATCGTATATTATAAATATATTATTAATGGTAATATTAGGTAATCCTATCTGTAGAGATAAAATAAGGTATTATAACATATTTATATATTATATAGATATTATAGATTAAAAGGTAATATAACCTATAAATTAGTAATTAGTATATAATTATATATTTAATAAACTACTGTATTTGATATAATGATTAAAGGGGATATAATGTAATCTAATATATAATATAATAACATGTTTTATAATGGTATATAATCTAGTATAAATATAATCACCTTTAATACAATATCTAGTTATATATAAGGGTAATATATGGTATACATAGAGATAAAATATCATTAAATATATATAATATCGTTATACTTATTATTAGTACATATTTATATTATAGATTAAGAGGTTATTTTAATCATTTATATATTATTTAAGTCTATTGAGTAGAATATATATATTAGTATAATATAACTAGAGATATAAGTAAATATAATCCCATTATTATCGTATCAATCATGTATAATAATATGGTTATCGTAATAGTAATATATAGATATAATAACTAGTATAATTAAATATATATTTATATCCAGTTTATATCCATGTTAAAGATAATATTGGTTTATATATTAATATATCTATCCGTATCCCTTATTTTATTATCACTAAATTATAATATTACAATAGATATGATATTAGTGGGTATGATCACATATTATATTATTATTAGATATCTTATGCCATAATTTAATATATATTTATTTAAGGGCATGTATTAGTATGATATACCTACCCCTACCCCTTATAATATGATATCGATAGCCATATTGAGGATATGCCCTTATCTATTTATAATATCGATATTATCTATATATTATTATTAGGGCATGTATCTATCGTTATTAGATTATATTGTTATCTCCATATAGATATCTATAGATTATAAACTAAATACACTAGATATATATTATTA